AAAAAAATTAACGAGGGTCCGTGAACGCAGCATTAGCCAGCCTCGTTGTGAAAACCAGGACAACTCCTCATCCAGGGAACGAAAAAAAAGAAAAACAGGCAGGGAGACGGTGGGGTGGAGTACAGGAAGCTGGTTGAACATGGGCGAAATTTAATCTAATAACGACATAAATCACAGTTTCCATTTCTTCCATATTTTTACGGAACAAGACTGCGGAGATTTGTGGAATTTTTACTGGATTGCTTTGGAGATTTAGGCGAACAGCGAGGAGAAGATGTCTCGGGGAGTGATCCAGCCCAGCCAGCAGAAACTGGCAGAAAAACTCACCATCCTCAACGACAGAGGCATCGGGATGCTGACCCGTGTTTACAATATCAAAAAGGTTCGCACACACACGCAAGGCTGTGCCCCCCACTGATCGCATACAAGTCTTTGAACAGATTTTTTTTTTTTTTTTTTTTACGGACATCCCAAATTAACATCAGGGGAACATTATATGGGATTAGCTAGCACTGATTGCTACTCTCACGGCATGAGCAGTTAGAAGATTTTTAGGTCTCATTTTAGACATTAGGCATTATTATTATTTTACTAACTGCGTGTTTATGTGCGTCAAACGACACTTACGTTATCCCTTTGGTATCCCTGGAAGCAGGTTGTGGGCACAGCTAGCCACTAGCTGTCACGTTAGCTTGCGGTAAAGCTGGCCATTGGATTTACGACGTGAACTGATTTTCGGTTAGATTAATCAAAATGGGAGTTGATTATAATGGGTAGCGCGATAAACAAAAATAACCGAAACAGCCAAACAAGCCCCTTAAATCCCTGGGCCTGCGTTAGTGGTGGAAGCTAGCTGCCGTCGTTGGCCGCTATAATGGCGGCGGCTGCTAGTTAAGCTAACCACTGCTAATGAAGCTAGGAGTCGGGCGTCGTCTCCCCTCCACCAAGAGCTAAAACACCAATCTCCAGCTGCACGCAGCCTGTTAGTTCACCCCAGTCACTGACATATACATAACCGAACTCGATGCTTTTTTTCAGACCTAGCTGGCAGGTACCTAGTTTAGCTGGGTACACTAATTGTGAAAAAAATGAAGCGAAAGTAACGAGTAAAGTCGGTTAATTGGACGTTCGGTTGTTATTTTCAACTGATTACCGAACAAATATTTATGATACAACCAGACTCTAATTTTTTATATATATGCTGGTCAATGTTAAACGAATGGTTTCATTTGCACCCTAGCTGTATCCAGCAGGCGTTTTGCTTGACTGCATAAATGCTATGCAGTTTGACATCTGTCCAATAAGCTTTTCATGGGTCAATGTTAATCTGTAAAGGCACGTAATGTAAAATTATGTATTTAAAAGGAGCTAAAAAAAACCCACAAAGGTAAATAAAGCTATCAAGAGATCATTTAGAAACCATCAGCATGACTTCATGTCAAAAACGGCTGTGTGTTGTGATAGAGAGGTATCAGCTGAAACTAAGTTAGGGTAAAGCCTTACTTTCACATAATACCAGTTTGTACCTGCCATTTATTTAACCAGGCAAGTTATTAAAAAAAAATCTTATTCATCTGGTTAAATGGCAGCTTGGAAAAAGTAAAGCCTCTTGAGGAAATTGGGGTCTGTATAGAGAAATTTCAGGGCTGCATTTTCCTGATCACCTTGAAAAAAGGGCTTTAGCCCTCTCCTGAAAGATAATTTATAAGGAGTTAGGGAAAGAGAAGAGAATCTGGCTGCGCTTATAAAATCTCCTTAATAACTTGATGTGGTCTGGTGTGGTGACAGTATAATGTCCCAAAGATGAATTACAAGAACCTTGCTTTTCAGTGTTCAATACATAGGAATAACTGGCTTATAGAGTGAAATGAAGTGTCTCATTGAGTTGACACTGCTGGAGAGATGACCCAGTGTAACTCCTGCCTTTATTAAAGCTTTCTGAGCCTGAAGTAATATTAATTAAAGTTAAACCTTAAGGCTGAAAATGCAGTATTGGACAGAAATGATGCAAAAATGAGTTATGGCAACCCTTCAGTTAACTGTAAAGATTTGAACATGCTAAAAATGCATAGAGCTCCTTGAAGCAAGGCAGAAACTTCCTAAGAAGCAGATTTTATCACAACAGCCTGCTTTTGATCATTTTCCTTGTTGGTATAACACGGCTGATAACGTATCAGGAGGTTATGAAATTAAAAGAAAAACAAACTTAATTAATGTTTACCCCATCAGCTTTGTTTCACAATCATAATGATTGATTGCTGGATAGTGCATTGCTATGAGTTATGGCATGGTATTATTAATTTCCTTTGATACAGGATGCTTTATCCTCTGCTAAAAGGAGGTGACAAGGGACATGCTGATCTCCTTTCCTTCATATTTAGAGGATCAGAATCTCACCAGCTCTTTTTATGGCTGTCATGCAGGTGCTTCCTGCTCACTTTGTGCAGTTACAAATTAAACTAAGCAAAATTGACCTTTTTTGACCATAGCCTTCAAGTTTCATAGCAGAACACACCCAGAAGCATCAAAAACACACCCTACTTGCATGTTTGTGGTTAAAGTGCCCTAAGGCTATTACAGTTGACTACAAACACACTTAAAAACCAAGACTAGATCAGAAGTAAAAAACAAACAAACTGCATTTTAGTTAACTAATATAAAAACTAGAAATCATTTTTTGGTTGTTTTAAATTTTCCAAGGCAGAAATTATGAGGATGCTTTAGACTGGGATGTCTGTAGAATTATGAGCCATTGGTGTGCTGATGAATAAACATCAGCACACATAATAATTCAGTAAAATAAAAATAGATACAATAAAACTAGTAAACTCATGCGGAAGCTAAAGTGACGTGGTGGGAAAATAAATTCAGTGCCCACATTGATACTACATCTGCTTCTTATTGCAATAGGCTCAGTTATATAAGACACATTTACTAATGTTAACTGACTCTTGCTCAAGTTTTACACCAATGCTTTGTGTGTGTGGGAGGGGAAAAAAAAAGAGTAGTGGGTCTGTTTGTGTGGGATGAGCCTTTGTTGCTTGAGTATGTATGATGAATAGAAAAAGAGGGAGCGAGTGAAAGAGGCCAGTCATATCTTAGCTAGTTTTAACAAGTGAAGAGTAGAGTGTTAAACTGTCTGAAAGCCCATACTGTTTCCCATGTGTAGTTTGGAGGTGTCTTTCTACAGCATTTAATTTTCAAAGCATTATTTCTTTTGGTCTGAAGGCACCCTCGTTGTGTAAAACACTCTGCTAAAATGCCGATGTAGTAATACATTGCTGTGAGCATGTCTGTTAAAGTTATAACACAGTATGAGCAGTCAGACACTAAGATTTTGCTGCTGATTACTCTTCTTAATACGCCCTTCCTTTCCTTCCTCCCTTCTTCCTTCCTTCCTTTTTTCTTTCTGTCTGTCCCATCATCTTCATATCTATCTATATTCAAACCTGCCCCACCATAAATCCTCTGAACATATCCACTCTGACCTGTTCATATGTTATTTTAATGCTTCATTTTACCTTGTAATATTAGAAAACGTCCTAGCATCCGGTATTAGCCGCATCCCAAAGCTAGGAATGAAAGAACTGGGGCAGAAATTTGTACCAAAATCCGTGGGCTCAATCTTTTGATTTGGTTCTTTAATCTTGCAAACCCTTTCAAAGTTTCCTATAATATTTAATTAGTGGAGATAATTGTGTGTGCTTTGTTGTTTGGTTTCTACCTTTGGGAGATAGTAATTCATCTAAGATCACAGCAATGTTCCTATCCATTTTAAGCATATTCACTCATCACACCATCGACTATCTGCAGAAACCCTAAAATCTCTTCCTTAATTAATCTTGGCTGAGCTGGCATTAAAGTTTTTCTTTGCTGTGCTTATCTTTCAGCCAGTGGACCTTCTAACATCATTTTACTTCTTCGGGGTATCTGTTCTTCTTAACCCCACTCACACTCAGCTAACCCCTCGTGCCCCTCACTCCAAAGCTAGTGTTAAAAAGATTCAGTCAGTTTCCCACAAATGAATTAAGCTTAGTCCTAAAATAAGAGAAACATTCAGTGAAGCATTGAAAAAACACATTTAGTCCAAGACTACAACTTAATCCATGTCTGACGAACTTGAGTCAAAGGCCTTTAGTTTATTGTGACTAAAATCAAAACTGGCCAATATGTAAGAATGCAGTTGTGTTGCTGAAATGTATAGAAAAGTCTTTAAACTGCTTTTCAGATGTCATGTTTAAATTCAGGATGCACCAATCAGATATCTGGATCCTGTGCAGTTCTTTGTGCACGGAAGAAGCTAACATCTAAGCGCTTGGACAGGATCGATGTGTTGGCTTCTCTCTCATATTTACTTTTATTCAGGTACTCTTATTTACTTTCCTTTGATTATGTTCTGTCAGAGACATCAGGTAAGCTAGGAGCTAGAGGGATGTTGGTTTCACTGTGGGCTGAAATCAGACTAGTACAAATAAATTAAATAGATAATGCTAATGTATTTTTTAAAATTGTGTTGTATTCATCTTTGGCATGTAGTATAGTGAATTTGTCCTTTTGATGTATTTGTTATTTTTTAGTCAAGTTAGAATGAGAGTTGTTTCATTAAACTTTGCTCATAAAATGATGATTTTCAGTCATTTTCTCACAGTGAGACATATTAACTCTGTTATCAGATTGGTACTCTGTATTGGAAAACCTTTAAAGCCAAGGATTCCTCATCATGTTGGAAGTGGAAAAAGCTGGATTGGTGCATCCCTAGTTTAAAGTTCTTCAAAGGTCTCTTAAGTTATACCTACACATCTGTGACACCATCACAATTAAACAGCATCTCTGAAACGTTACTAATTTGGTGATTCTTGCAGTACTTTTGCTTTCAAGTTCAAGTTTCAAGTTTATTCATTTATATAGCATTTTTAAAAACAATTTTTGACCAAAGTACTTTACAATAACATAGTGAAAACAGAAGATATACCAAAGTTTGATGAAATGGAGCAGTTTTTGGGAAAATAATCCAAAATAATTGTTCCTTTCATTTGGGGGCAGAGGCATTTCAGGTTCCT